ATATTTTACTAATTATAACTAGTAAAAAATTTAAGCATTGCATTATTTTTGATTGTCACTGTATAATTAAATTTCTTAATAATTATATTTCTTTATAATTATTTTTTTATAATTATTTTTTTTGAATTTTTTAATTATTGATTAACTATACTTAAAAAAATTTCTTTATAATTATATTTTTTTAGTTATCTAATTTTTGTTTTTTAAATAATAATTATTGAGAGATTTAATTATATATATATAAAGTTATATTATAATAATATATATTATAATTATAAATTTAAAATAATTAATTAATGGTCTGTTAATAAAAGAAAAGTAATGATCAGCAATCACTAATAAAAAATTGGGATAATAAATATTATATGTGTTTAAAATCTCTTTTCTGAGTAATTGCATGTCTATTTTTAATAAAAAATATAATACACAGCTTTTAGCTATTAGAGATATAGTAAAATAGTTTTATTATAATTATTTTGCTTCAAATTGGTGGTTTTTTGTTTTAAAAAATCAGAAATATATTTAATTATCTTTTCATATAAATTATTGAATACATATAGAATTAAACAAAGAACAGTTTGTAATACATATAATTGCTAATAATAATTTTTCTGGATTTATTTCAGAAACAGAATCAAATTGTAAAATTTATTCTAGTATATCCACTATAATTAGTATTACATACTAAAAATTATTTAAAACTCATATGTGCTATTTAGGCTTAAATCTTCTTGATATAGATGATGATAAAATAATTATTCAATTATTATCAGGTATTTTATTTTGTCTATTTCAAATCAAACTTGACAATATTAAAATTTTTATTGCACACATAGATATATCAAATAATCAAATACTTAACTTTACTAGATATAAATATATAGTCAGTTTTAATCATAAAGTTCATGATGATTAATATTTGATTGTTCAAATAATTAATGAAGATAATACCACTATTTATATATATCAAAATGGACTTTAAAGAGAAAAATATATTGGCATATTTCTACAAGAAGTATGGAAAAAAATGATAATTTGTCAAGACAAAGATCCTTTGGAATTATTTGATCTAAATAATCTAATAGTTATAAAAGTGATGAAGATACAATCTGAAACTTCACTCTGTAATTTTCAATAATGATCAGATCTTGACATAATGATACCAATTTACAAAAAAAATCTCAAATGAAAAATTGCAATCTCCAATCTCTAATGATATCAATTTTTTATTAATTGACTAAATCAAAAGAATACTATTATTGAATTTCAAATAATATTAGCATGTATTTATCCACCAAATTATATATTTGTGGATTATAAACTTTGTGTCTGGAGAAAAATGATAAAAGATGTAGGATGTGTAAATATAATACCATTTACAAAAAAAGAATCTCAGGTATTTTGAATTAATTATACATATTATATAATTATAATCAAAATCTAATTATAATTTTTATTTTTAGTTAGAGTTTTGGATATATGCTATTGATTATTCAATAGACAAAGAAAATATATCAATACTATATTATAATGATTTATTGAATCTTGATTTTCTTAAAAAGAAAATAATTATATTATCATCAGAAATAAATACTAAAATATAATTTTGGATAAGTTTTTTTAAATCGATTAAAAAAAATAAATATGAATTAGATGGAAAATAAAGAATATTATTTATAATTACAAAAAAATTTAGATTTAAAGAATTATGCAAAAAATTACAAATAATTAAATTAAAATTAAATAATAATCAAATACTTACTTTTTTATATTTAGATTTCAAATAATCTTATTATAACTATCAAAGAATATACTAAAATAAATGGTTCCAGTTGTCCTATATCAAAACCTATTATTACTTACTTACATGTATCTAAAGTTCAAGATTAACAATTTGAAGTATTTTTTTCTGATAAAGTAAATATTTCTATAAGTTCCTATGTAATTGATTTGAAAATAAATTTATCTATACTCTATCTTAAAGATAACAAAAAAATACTTTGGAAAAAATTTGAAGCTACTTATCCAGATGGAATCAAACAAACTTCTTTTATGATATGATTAGCAAGTGAAAGATATGTATATTAACAAGATTTAAATAAATTATGTAATATTTACAATGATTATAGCTATAAAATATTTAATTCTTTGATTCAATTGGTCAAAACAAATATAATTCAAAAAGAAAATCAAGTAAGTATTAGCATTTGTTATTAAAAATACAAAAAAAACTAAAAATTAATAAATTTTTTAGCAAATCTTGGTTTGTGATATTGAATTTCTTTGATATCACATGAGATGAGGATTTGAAGAAGAACTATTAGTTAATAATAATAGGACAACAAATTATATGAGATGCATAAATTATTGTCTTCTTTATGTATTTGATATATGCACATAAGTCCATCCAGAGTGGTATGAAAAGTATGACTAATTATTTAATCTTCTTGATTATTTGAAAGAAATTTTGTCTTCTAAATACCATTTGCTACTCCAAGAATATGAAGAAAAACTCACTTATTTTCTGACATATCAGGCATAAAAAGTCTATCTCAACAATTAATTCAAAGCTTAGTTATTGGAGCTAGATGAAAAAGATATAATGATACTTACTAACTATAAAATAAAAATTTTATCCAAGTCAGCATGTAAATAAAAACAAGAATTTTTTGGCAAAAGAGAATGATCATTACATACTATCCTTGTATTCACAAAAAAAGATAAAGCTATTGAGGTTCAAGCATTTAATCATTAGTTATTAGATATCAAACAAGATGCTTAGTTTACAATCTTTTTATTTGATACAATATTTAAAATTCTCGAGATTAAATCAGAATGAATAAAGATATTTTCAGATAATAATAGACATTATCACAGTTTAGAAGTACTGACTATAATTTGAAATTGATATTAGTAATATAATATTGATATGTGTAGATAGTTTTTTTTTAAAGCTGAAGAAGTAAAATCACTTGTTAACTCATATCATACTATGATAAATTTATTTTTTTGAATTGTTTTATCTAGTTATAGTTATTAATTTTCATTTAACAGATCTCACATGCAATAAAAAAATATATAAGAATAGGACATACTTTAAACTCAGAAAAATTAATTGTAATGATTATTTAAAGTCTTGCAGAAACTTCTATCATGAATATGAAATCCTGAAGAAATCATGTAATAGTTAAAATAATAGATAAGATATTATATTTGTATTACTGGAAATGACTCATTTTTGATAACTATGCTGATTTTATTCAAGACAGAATTGTCACATATTGGGAAATAGATTCATTTTTTATCTTTTGATATGAAAAAATTGATGAAAGAGTCAATTCATAAGCCAACACTCAAAGTTTTATCTTATACAATCTCTTAAAGTTTATAAAAAATTCCTATTCCTTAAAAAAATGGTAAGTATAAAATTAAACTAAAGAATTAATATTTGGAATAATATCTAATTATCTTATATAAATACATATATCAAATCAAAATTAGCTAAAGAAAAGAATAAAGGTAAGTGAAAAGTTATAAATTAGAGATTTTTCATTATTTTGACAATAAATTTCAATTGAGCAGATAAAAGTGAATCAAGTGATCCTGTATTTGAATCAGATTTTCCTCTTGTAAATGGTTGGGCCTTAAAAAGTAGATAAAAGTTAGAAAAGCATAGTTCTGAAAAAAGAATAAGTAAAAAAGTAAAAGATTACCTAAAAGTATTTTTTACAATAGATAATACAAATAAAACTAAGTATATATCAGCTAAGAAGATGGTAAAAGCATTGAATGAATTAGCCAAGAAAGATGAATTTGAGGCTAATAAAATTTCTAAAGTCAAGACCATTAATTTGTGGATTATCAGATATTTGTATACAGTATGCATACTTGCTGTTGAAAAAAGACAGAAAGTTATAATCCAAACTGGCAAGTCAAGTCAAACTGCAGATGCAGAGAGAGATATAGTTATTGAGAATGTGAATGAATAAGATATAAGATGTAATGCTTTTAGTAGCCAAAGACAGAGTAAACAAAGAAAAAAATCTTAATTTTAGCTGAAAATAACAAAAATGTATATAGTATTGTCATGTAATAATAGATTTAATTGAGTTTATCTGAAAAATCTCCATTTTTGATATAGTAAAGACCAAAATAAAAGCTTTCAAAGATATCTTTTTTATAAAAATCAAATTTTGAGACTTTTTTACGCTATTTATATTTTTCATTAGTCAAAAATACATGACTAACTGAAAAGTTGTATAGAAGCTAATTATTTCTATTTTTGATTAGTTACATATTTGATTGATTCCAGTATAATACTAATTGCTAATTCTTTTTCATTTGCAGATCATCAATTAATTTATTAATTAATTAATAACTTTTTAATAATTAATTTTAATATTTCTTATTATTATTTTTAATACTTACTTATTCTTTTTAATATAATACAGATTTCACTAATTATAAATTTTATTAAATTTATAATACTTAAAATATAATGAATTAAAATTCTTACTTAAATAATATATAAAAAATTATAATAAATTAGTTTAATAATAAAGAAATAGATATTTATTTTATATTTTTAGCTTTTTATTTTTTTTAATTTATAATAAGTTAAAATTAAGATTTATTTATTAATTTTTATTTAAAATAATTTTTTCTTTATTTAGATATTTTTAAAGTATTTAAATATTATTAATTTTAAAAATATAAAATATATTATAATCTTAATTAAAAATACTATTTAAATTTTATTTTTATAAAAAATACAAGTTAATAATTCAGATTTATTCATATTATTTCAATTTATATTTAATTAATCTTTGACTTAATAAAATTAAATATTAAGTTAATCATATGTAATTATATTAGAAAGTTGAAATTTCAATATAATTACTATATTAAAAATAGAGAATTCTGATTGGTTAGTTTAATTTTATTTTATACAAGATCTACAATTAAAATTTGGTCATTGGCGCAGCAGATTGCTGATTAATCTATTTTTGAAAATATTGACTAAAATCATAGTCATCGTTATTAATAGCATTATCAGTCGTTTCTGCCATTTCCTCGTCAAAAATATTCGATATGGCTACTGCAGCTGCTTTCTTTTTATTTTTTCGAGCTAATTTTGCTGCTTGTTTTAATTTTTTTCCGTGTTGTGGATTCAATTCGATCTCTAAAGGGGATAATATTTGTTGAGTTTTTGATTTGATATTTGTGGCGAATGTGACTGTTGAAGATTTAATCGGCAAAACAATTGGCGCAGAAGGTTGGTGCTCTTGGCGGATAGGAACCGCTTGTGGTGCATCATCATCTTCCATAATCATACTATACATCAAGTTTAAATTAGTATAATTAATAACGGTATAGGGATATCAGTATGGATAGGCAGATCGGATGGTATGGGCATAAGTATGGAAATTAATAAAACTCAGATCGCTTGCGTCAGATGTTCGCTTGGCCCAAATTAGAATAGGGGTTTTACTAGAGTTAGGTGTTAATGTCGGGAAGGCCGAAGGGAATCACGTGAAGTAACATCTGACGCAAGTTTGACATCTGAAGTATAAAATATGTAATACATTCCGCAATAATATAGTATTCTGTAAACTCAAATTGGGAATATGTATTAATTCTAGATTCTAGTCACCTGTCAGTCTCTTCCTCAGTTTCTTGGTCGTCATCGAAAATGTCCATTTCAGCCTCGGGAAGTTCTCGTCCTGCCTAATTGAGTCGTTTTAATTATAATAAGTTTTCACTATTCTAAATTATTTCTATAAATATAGACAAAAGAACTCACCATGGCTAAAGCTGAAGAACCAAATTCGCCCTTATCTTTTATCGATTCCAAAATTGTCTTATCCTCAGTGGTTAACTCATCCACGTTAAACTCTTTACCCCACGATGAAACTATCTCACTATTATCGGAAAATTTTTTGAATTCAGCTGGAGGACTTGTATAAAACGGGATCTTTCCAGAATTCCAATCTTGAAGAACGGATTTAGCTGCAGCTTTCAAATCAGGGATTCCGCCCTTCTTAAGTCTACCACGTTGCCGTGCAACAAGTATAAGAAAATCGTTGGTGTCATTGAACATTGTGATGTCATATTTCTTGGCTAGTTGTTCTCGATTACAGCGTGACACTATCATGTCGACTTTCGAACAGTATAAATGTGTAAATACATAAGCAAGTTCTTAACTGAAATAGAGTTGGGCGCCGAAACTACATATCGATAGTTTAGGTGCCCAGTTATAAAATGAAATGATACGTGAATAATTTACCAGGCTTAATAGGATCATCCAACAATTCTATTTTAACACAATTCCTCAATAAAATTTCTGCATAATTATCACCCCATTGTGCACGACTAAATACAATTCCAGGACAATCCAAAAGTTTTATATTTTTATCTAAATGAATTTCCTGTGCAGTTTTTGTAAAACCAGGCGCCGCACCAACACCACAAACTTTCGACCTCTTAAGAGAATTAATCACGGAAGATTTGCCCACGTTTGGATATCCTATCACTCCGACAGTAATTGAAGTTTTGATATTTGCATTACGACAATAATTCTTAAGTAGTTTAATTAACGTGTCAGCTCCTAAGCATTCATTACTATGAAGAATATTCTCAGGTACACTAGTTGACGAGCCAGATAAATGACCGAGATTCCCGCGTTGATTTTGCGTGGATGATTTAAAAGCGATTGTAGGATATTCATTGCGTAGATAACTCAGCCATTGTATCGTGTTTTCCCTAGGTACAAGATCTAACAAAATAATATATTATTCATCGATTCTATAAGACTAAATATAAGAAAAAAATTATTGAAGTTACCAATTTTATTCAAAATAAGAATTATCCTCTTATTCAGTCCACTATCAATAACCATTCGTTCAATTTGCTTGGTTCGGCATCCTAACGGATCACGAGCATCAAGAACTTCCAATATCACATCCGCATTCCCAATCACTTTTTTAAATTCTTTGAAATAAGCTTTACGTGAATTATCTTTCTGTCCTATTGCCACCGCGTCGACCATTGTCGAGGACGTTTCATCCATACTATTATCATTGGATATTTCTTTGGCAGCGAAAGCTGTGTCACGTTTATTGGCATCTTTGGCTAACGACATAAAATTCAAGTTACGGTTCTTATTATGAAGATCATGACGATCTTGTTTTTGACGAATTCGCTCTTCTTCGACCTTTTTTAAAAATTTAAAAATAAAAAATTATTACAATGTTCAAACATAATATATTCAATTATGCATAGTTTTCGAGAATTCACTTTTCGTTTCTGTTCTTCTATCTGATGTAGAAGCTTATCTTTAAAAGGCCATAGATTCGGAATGCCAGGGTCTTTTCTTAACTCTAAAAGGAACCCAGTGATTAATTGATTATATTAATTTTTGATCTCAGGGAAAGATGAAATTAAATTAAAACAATCATATGATATTGTCAAAAACATCACATTACTTGTCGGTTTTGGATTCTTTTTAGCTTCTCGTCGTTCTTTACGGTGATGTTCTTTGACTTTTTTTTCGATCTTGTATTTTTTTGATAATGTTATACGCTTGCTTTTTGCCTCTTGTGATTTTAGTATATTTAAAAAATAAATGGATAAATAGAATTACACAAATAAAAAATTTCTCTCTTCAAGGCATAAATGGTAACTTACTTTTCCTAACCATTTTATAATTTTTAGTGTAAATTTTTTTCTGGAAACTATGGATGGTATGGTAGATCACGAAAAATTTGATTTTTAAGGGGAACGTTAAAGCCGTGTATCCACGTGACATTATTAATATATAAATATTTTAAATTTTATATACAATTCAACCAATTTTTTTTAAAGACTTAAATTGTATTTCTTTACTATTTTTTTTATCGTTACTATGAAAAGTTAAAATACTCTCTTTAGTCAACTGAATAACAAATTGCCCATGTTCATTTTGCGTGATTGGTTACAAAAGTCACGGTCACTATAGCGTTAGCTAAACATCTTATTACGTTTTTAATAAAATAATATAAAAGTATTAATAATCAAATTTAATTCCATTTAATTTTTATCAATATAAATATAAATGTATAAAAAATTTATATAACATACATGAAAAAATATAAATAAAAAATATTTAAAATCGAAAATCATTCAATTAATAAATAAATAAAATAGAATTCTTTTCTCTATGCCATAAATTGCCTAATCTAGACAGTGCTACACGATGATTTTACGGCACCTCGAGCAGCCAAAGACCTCTTTTTCTTCTGAGGATCGTTTGGGCTAGGAAAAGGTTGTTCTTGGCCTCGCAATATCCCAGAAGAATAGAATACCTTTGGACGATATTCTGGAAGCTCGTCCATAACACTAAATCAAAAATTAGATTCTTGTGTTATATCAAAAAGATTTATTTAAAAGCAGATAATTTAATTTACCTGCTATTTCGGAATTTTTCAACCAAAGCCTTCTTGCCTTGAATATTGGCATAGGCAAGCTCACACACCTTCTCCGAGTTAAAGCAAGCCCAGCGCTTTCCAACTCGCACGTCAGCAAAGGATAGGACTGCGCTGTTATTTGAAAAAAATCGCGTTAATTACCGTTTCAATAAAATATTAATTTATAGCGCATCTCAATTCTTACTTCGCGTCTATAAAGTTGATAAAGGCATAACCAACATTGCACCTGTTTTTAAAATCCATGCGCAAGTACAAGAAGTCGTACTGGCCCTTGTGCGTCTCATCAAGAGTGTCCATTAACATGCGCTATATAAAGGAAATACGCGTTTAGAATAAAATAACCTCATTACAAGAAAAAAAATCAAATTACCTGAGTATATTTATTCGGAATGTTTCGAATCATGAAAGTAGTTCGTGGGTCTTCTCCTATTATTTAATATGTTATTACAAGATAGATAGATATATACGTATTTTTAGTTGTATTAATTACCATTCGCGATTTTTTTAGAATCAAACTTATTCTGCGGAGGAATTTTTCGATCACCAGAAACGATAACAGTGCTATTATTGGGTCCTGTTTGCTTTAATTTCTGTACTCCTTTCTTTTGCATTGTTACGTTTTGAGCTGTCTCGAATAAATCCTCTGCCCCAGTCATAAACGAACCATAAGAATTGTAGGAAGAGCCGGAACGGAAAGAATTCGATCCATGAGACGATTCAAAAGCGAATCCATGTGGCTGAAACCGTCTTTGTGCGAACATGCTATTACCCAATTGAGCGTAGGGCGAACGTTCAACGGAAGGGGAACTTAAATAAAAATTCTCTAACGTTTTTTGAATGTATTCCGCCTGTTCTTTCTTTTGCTGAAAGACGTTGATAGCCATCTGCCAGGAAAGCGGGTCATAGTTATAATAATCAACTTTAACAGTTGCGTTCTATAATATTAATTCAAAAAAAAGAATTATTATTAAATTAAAAAATATGTATAATGCATTAAAAATTACCTTGATAATTTTTCCATTCAAGAGTTCTTTTGCACCGAGCGCGTCACGAGTATCATAGTATTCGACCAAGATCTTTTGAGAATCTGTCGATTCGAGTGGCGTCATCGACCGAATATTCCCATGAAAATCTAGTTCAGCCTATTTATATTTATTTGAATATGTTATTTTATGAAGTATATTATTTGACAAAATATAATAATTATAAAAGTTTACCTTGATTGTTGACTCATCGAACCGTTTACCAAGTACTTCTAACATTAAAATACCCTCGTTATCCCATTTACTAGGTTTAGGATTGTCTGACTGAGAGGACTAATAAAGGATTGATTTGAATTAGATAATTTAGTCATGTGTTCAATTTCGTATTTATATTTACGTTTTTTGAGAACGGTCTAGCACAAAATTCGACATTCAGATGCTTCCCGTTTATTGAATGGGAACGAAGTTGCCTGCGCGCTTTAATAGCGTCGCGGATATCATAGAATACCGAGTAAATGAAACCATGAGTGCGTAGAAATCGAATAAAGATTTCATTGACTTCGCCTTGTGCCTATTGTATATCAACTCGGTTATAAGTAAGCTTGCTTATCAATTAGATATAATTTCAAAAATCACCTGAACAAGTTCGATTAGCGTAGGCACATCAATATCTTTTGGTAAGTTAGCAATAAGTAACCATCTTGAGGGGATTCCACCCCAAGAATTGCCGAATTTTGAATTGCTCGAGAAGATAGACGATTGCTTTCTTATAGTTTCGAACGGAAGTCTTGGCAATCCTCCCTTGTTTTGTTCAGACATTTTATCAGTGTGAGAGTCAGGCTGGAAATAGAATACATTTGTACTTTCTTGAGCAACGTATAATGTATCGTCTTTACTGCGTTCTTCTTTGGGTGAGAGAAAGTGATGCGCAAGTTTACGCAATGTGTCATCATCCAAAGTATGACGTGACTTATTGCATTGGGGCATTTCAGTTTGATTCAAATCAGCAGTTAAACCATTAGGACTGGTTGGTGGAGTAAGGATGTCCAATATCATAGTATTTACGTTGCTTGTGGTAACAGAGAGATTGCTATTATGATCTGGTGAAGCAGACGTGATCAAGTTTTGAGCAATCGATTTGTTAATTGATGGTAAATTGTTGTAAGAAATCAATCCCGTGGATAGATCTGATTTCGACGTTTCTGATAATGAATTTTGGTCTGAGGCTGTTTCTTTAGCAGCAAGGCGGGCTAATAAGATCGAGGTTGACGCGTTATAATCTAATAAATTATCACGCAGTTTTAATTCTTTAGCAGAAACATTGGATAGAAATTCGTCATTCGACAGTTTCAAATTTTGCTCAAGACCATGGGCCGCGTTGTCTTTGGATGTTGACTCAACCGCCACGTTTCGTTTATTGACGGAGGAATCTAAAATAATTAGTAATATTGATGAATGACAATCACAATCATCATTTAATTAAGTGATTAAATTACCGATCGTTGTATTCGTCGACGATACACTATCATCGATGATTGGTTTCTTGAAGCAGGAAGTCGACAGCATAATGGTATCTCTCGAAATAAAGCTCGAGTCCATTGACACTTTATGATAGTTACCTGGAAAGATCCGAATCACGTGATCTTTCAGTAATGTATGCGTAAAATACATAGTACAAAGATAACAAAAAAGATAGATAAATTTTACAAACTCTTGTTTCTTTATTTCTTTGCGAACGGTTTCAAGCACGGCAAGGTCGCTATAAATAAAAGATTTTTTAAAATAGTTGAATTTCAATTCGTAATTAGTTAGTAAGTATATAATGTTGGTTTTGAATCGCAACACAAGGCTTACATAAGAGAAGAAATGAATAAGGCGTGAAACAGCAATAACATATAATAGAGAATAAAAGAAAGTGTTATTTTTAATTTGCGCGAAAGATAAAAGTTCGAAATTCGCGGCGCGCAATTTTTAGCTTTACTAAAACTTAAACGCTGAATTTTAAATGATTTGGGTGTCTTTTAAAGTATACGTATATAATAAATTTCTAATATACACGCGAAGAAAATATGTTTCTTCCTCTCCCGTTTAATAAAAAACGCGTCTTTACCTATCAGTCCGTATTCGATCTGTTTAGCAAAGAAGACAAGTGGGTATGGAAAATCAATAGAAGCAATTCGTGTCTGTATATTTTTATTATAACAGGTGATGATTTGATCGAAGAATTTTATTGGTTGACTATATATAATCAATTCATGTAAAATTTAATTAACTTTTATTCATGCGTATATTCAAGTTATTAGACATGACAATCTAAAAGATCATGTTTTTTTAATGCAACGAGAACCTCTTAATAAATCAGGTGGAAAGAATGCACCGATTGATGATTATTAATTTTCTAGTCTTTATCTCATTGCTAAGGGGATGGATAGCTGAATTTAATTAGAATTCGCGTTGAACTTTTGATATCAAATCATTTTTGAAATAATAAATAAATGCGAGAATTTAATATGCAAGCTTTTAATTCCAAAATTAATCCCGAATTCGAGTGTTAATCAATTGTTGATTACATTAAATCAATGAGTTTAAACAAAGCAAACTAATTAATTTTGCTGTTTTTCCGAAATATTCCGAATTTAAGATCATAAATTTAGTAAAACCAGTTTCCATTCGATTAATTTTCAAGGAATTAAGGAAAAATTGGGGGCTAAATGACTAAATGAATGAATTTGAGCATAAATCTAAAAATTTACCTAAAAAAATTGTCAGATTTTCCAAAATGCAATGTTTATAGTGAATTACATGTTCATGCTATGAACTCATAGTGATTGTTGAAATGCGCTTTAACGAACATGCAGGGTTATATCATAAAAAATCTTTAATTTCACGAACTTGACCAATGATCCAGTGCTAATTATTGATATGACGTATTTATGATGATTGATAAATTGCCACATTATTTAATCTAAAACTTCCTATTAAAAAAAATGAAAGAGCAATATTAAATTCCTTCGATTACCTTTAGCAATCTTTTAATTGGCAATCGTCGCTATTCATACTCAAAAAGAGTGAATCAGATGACGACTTTATCACAGAAACTTCCGAATGAGATTCTGATTCTGATCTTGGAGAAATGTGCTAATGATTTTGGGTAACATTCGGTTTATATATTATTTTTAACATATAATAATTTATCCCGCTCAAACTAGTATTATAAATATGGTTATATAGTCTAATTGACGTTTGGCGTTGGCGACGTGTTTCAAGATACGTGAAATCTATTTGCGAAAATTTAGTTTTGAAAATTATTCGACATGATTTCAAGTGGTGGATTATCATTACGGTAATTAATCATTATAATCTGTAGAAACACAAACCTTGTGAGAATGATTAACTAACTTTTTCATTAATAGCCAACCTTGAACCCCATTGAATCCCTAGACGAATTGAAAGTCGTTGATCTCCCCAAATACGATATTTCACTCTCATCCTTCATCACCAATAATGATATTATACATACCAAATTTATCTTTCAGCCTTCAAACGGTGAATTCAAAATTAGCCCAACAGAGACGACGTTCACGTTGGATCTTTGTAATCGTCGATTTAACGGCTGTACGTATCGATACGGTATTGTAATTTATGACAACAACGTGGACGATGGGGATGTTAATACAAAATACCTTATTTTAGAGAATGATGGGACTAGATGTATTTTAGAGAAGGTTCGGGATGGGAATAATAAAAAGACTAGTAGCAATGATACTCATAAGAATGATAAAGTGGACGTGTATCGTATTTTGAAGATGGAAATTGAGGCGCGTTGGAATGTTTTTGTTAGACTTGATCACAAGTGCTTAAAATCAGATAATTTTCATTAGGAAATTTGAAGTTAGAAAAAGAAAGTAGTTTATCATCAATATCTAGATGCCAAAACTAATTATCTTTAATAAAAAGGATCATTCGATAGCGTCCATAAATGTTAATGGGCTCTTCTTGAAGATACTAAAAAAGAAATTTTTTTACAGGTATCGTTAATAGGGAATCTCCACTCTCTTACTGCTGAATTAGTAGAACCATTGTAAAATATTAGGAACCATTAGGAAAATTGGGAGCCTCTAAAGGTTTAACACTTAAAAAATTACTGTTATGCTACCTACCTGCAATATCATGCAAAAATTTTTCTAATCGATTATATAAAAGGAAAAGACGTATACATTATAGAAATTTGAACTATTGAATAATTGGAATTCACCAAAAAATTAAATATCTCGTGAAACAAAAATAATTACTTTGGAAAAATAGATCTACTCCGCTTCTTAAAAACACAAATTAAACTAAAAAGGAAGCACGAAAAAGGCATATAAGCATGTCATAATAAGAACAACAGTTAAAATTTCAGACAACCCAAATAAACAAAAAAAAAAATAAAAAACTAGGGATCCAACTGGTGATACTTTTATCTCAAAAAGGTGATATTTTGCTTGAAGAAAGAGAAATCGTTGTATAAAGATAGCTAATTGGACTGCAAGATTATGTTCCGAACGTATCGTTCATAAAAAACGCGAAAACAATAATTGCATAACCATTGTGTTCGAGCCGGTATATAATAAATATATTATTAGAATTAACCTTAAATAGTTCCACTAAAAATATTATTTGCTAAATAAAATTGTATATTTTTATAATGTTCTTCTACATTAAATTATGTATAAATAATTAAGACTTGTATTTGAAGTGAAAAGTAAAAAAAATTGATTATGCACTCGTATGCACTTAGATCAAACAAATCGATGATGCTAGTTCTATTAAGTATATTATTTTCGATTAGATGGTTCGCTTTTAACATTAAAAAAGTTAGACAGACAAATTTACACGGGTTCTAGTGTATGCACATATCCAGTAGATTAAATCGAATATGAAAGCATAAAAATTTCGCTTTCATTCTCCTTTACCGTTACTGCTTACTGGAAACTAAATTTCTTAGCTAATAGTGATAAAAAATTTTTTAGATCACAATTTATTGTTACCGCGTCGAGATTTACATATGCATGCAATTTTTACGCGAATTTTTCATCATCCGAAGATCTCAAACTATACACGAATTTTTGACATTATTATGAAATAACACGCCGCATATAAATTAAAAAAGATAGCCGAGTTATTGAACTTGTAACTATTTTCTCAAGATAAAAAGTCTTTTATTTATACGCTTATATACACTTACATATAAGTATTATAAATTTATCATATTTACTACATAAACATATACAATCATAGATATAAAAATCTAATCACGCTTATTGGTTATGATAAAATCGCTAATTGGTAATGTTAATATTAGAATAATAATTAGATTTAATATCAATGATTTTTATAACATGGAAATGACATTACATACTTTTTACTATTACATAGATATGATGTTAAGTATGTCGAAATTTCTAAGGTATGCAAAAAAATCCGATTTCTAACCTTGGGATTTTTAATATGAATCAAAAATGTATATTTCCCCAACAACATCATTTATTGGATTGTGCCTTCACAATATATTTGATTGTCTAAAACACTGTTCTTTGACCAAAAATAAGAAACTTATCGAAATCACTATTTCATCATTTACGTTATACACGTGAAAATAAGTAATTTCCTTAAAGTGTTTGAAGCGTTCTACACAGTAAAGAACATAGCCTAAAAAATATAAAACTTATCTTTGGCGAGTTTTCTTTTAATTACACATATAAATAAACGTCATCGCCATAGATATGACGTGTTAGTAAATCACAATCAAATACCAACAACTTTACATCTTTCGAAGAAAAAAATGGCGTTTTATGTACGTTATTCAGCATTGCATGACGTACAACCATTTTGCAAATATACGAATAAATAATAAATTACATAATGTAAAACATTACTCGATACTACATTCAAAATGGACTTTCACATTCCCGATATGGAATTTTGTATATAATTATTTAATTAATTTCATAACGATAATGTATTATTTATCTTTAGAAATTGAACGAATAACCGTTTTTTCCCATGCAATGCACTAGTAACTTTTGCTCTAAATATAACTCAATTAATTATCTAATATTTATTTTTTTTCCCTTAGGGAAATTGGCATTCTTTATGGTAGAAAAATGCTGAACGAGGAAAAGTTAACTAAACAAATTTCCACGCATTTTTTGATTAATTGGAATCGATCCAGCCAACTCAAAAAAAACTCGTAACCAATTAATATTCCTTGTTAAATACATTCACGCATGCATACATGTGAACCTTTATGGCTAATCTTGTGGTTTTGGAAAACTGTATGTGTGGGTAATTGTAAATGTTTGGTCTGTTCTTTTTTTAATTAAAAAATGAAGCAATCCCAAACAATCAAAAAAAAAATCGGTTTTGTTTTCGGGAACATCAAAAATCTAAAGCTTTTGCATATATGTGCGTCATACATAGTCTAAATACACCAACCAATTGATTGATCAATAAGTCATTGTGAAGAAAAAGGTTTCAATTCATCCATCGGGTTTTTTATCGTTATTTACGAACCGATTTTAAGTAGGGCGTTTTAAATACTATGTAAATAATAATCTAGATGTGCATATATGTATGAATATGTAGGGTACAAAATATTGTTTATAAATACTTTGTCACAATATTTTATATCAAGTTAGCTTTTCTTTTTCTCTTTATTTCTCGCGCCCTATTCTATATTTTCCCGATATTTTTTATTATAATACAGTAGCAATTAATGTATTGTTAATGGTATGAACTAGATGAATAATCGCACCGATAAAGTAATTCGGAATCAGGAGGAAAAAATGAAACAAAAATAAAATTTTGATCAGTCAATAACTGGTTATGATCATCGTGTTTCTCTTCATTTCTATTGGGAGATCTTATTTAACCAAGACTAAAAAATAAAAGACTATTAGGGAGGATGTTTCTTATGTTGTCATTCTCGCGTCAACCACGGACCCGCGTTGGTTTTACATAACACTTTCGATTAAACATTTCATAAAAGAAATTTCTTTTGAATCTATACTTTATCAGAATTAGAAGATTCTCTTATCCTAATGAATCTTATAATCAATATAATCATGAGATAATAATTTTAAAGAAAAAACTTACTAAATCTATTTTATAGAAATCTTAATAAATGTGAAATATATTTGTTAAGCATTCAGACTAAGTTTAAGAAATTAATAATTATATTTCAAGAAAAAAATTACTGGCTCTTGATTAGAAGATATTTAAATATAATAATAATTATAATCAGATCTCTATATAATCACATCTTTAAAAGAAATTGCAGCTATATTTCTTTTTATAATTATTTGAAAAATGAAAAAACATGACTACATTAATTTTGTAACCATAGTAGTTAATTTTTCTAGAAAAAACATTAAATATTTAATATCATGATAAATACATATCAAAAAAAATTCTAACTATTAAATAATATATAATTAAAAAATTTTTAGTTCTGGAATATATCAATTTAATTATAAACTACTTAAAAAAAGAGATGATTATGCAAATTTTAAAAATTCACATATTTTATGTTTTTTTACATGATTTTTTTTTACTTGAGAAACCTATTGCAAAAATTTTAATTGCTAAATCTGGCTGCATATATTGTAATGAAAAGGTTTTGGTTTTCGTGCGATACAATCCTGATTTTAATGTTTCATTACGTAATTCAATGAACTCCAAAAGAGAAAGGGCAAATGAACCACATCTATTCGAGGCAAGATAAGTTGTGTTATTCTTGAATAACTCTTCTAACATTTTTTGGTTGGCTAGGATAATGGTAATTAAACCACGGTAGTTTAAGATTAGAAAAGCAAAAGACTAGATTAAGGAAGAAGCCCGTATCGGATGACCAAAAAAGCGAAAGAATGAGCAAAAGAAGAACTCGAGTGTAAATTAATAACAAAATAAATAACAAATATAGTCATCGACTCATAGTACTATTGTGACGTTTGGTAAAAACTTCGAAATAAAAAAGACCGTTAGCTATTAGAAGATCAGCATGTTTCCTTTTGGTATGGACTTTACAATAAACTAAGCCAATTAATAAGCATAGACAAAGAAATTTACGTATGAGCCATATAAACGATAAATGAATGACAACATAATTGCAGTCGTTATTGTCGTAAAGTTCCATCAACGTATGCGAATGCACGGTTCATCCAAATCACATGTGCAACCATACTTATTCAAGTGTTGGTTATAGCACTGCCTAATTAATATTGTCCATTGAATGAACGACTCATAAACTGCAGCAGCACCACACCAATAACAGTCCTTACCTGAAACTTTAAAACAGGCAATCAAGATCCAATAGCTACTAATCATTGCATATAAGTATGTTACTTTAATATCCCAGCATGATGCATATTGATATCTTGTTATCCATCTCTAACCTAATTAATCTATTGGAATTACCAAATAGGAATAACCGAGTCCGTGGGTTGAATGAATCTCAAATGGCGAGCAGAAACAGACTTGCCATGGTTCATTATTAAAGTCCCGATACTTTTGCTTGTGCATATTAACACACATTACTTTAATTTAGAATAAAAGTTCTGAATAAAGGGTTATTGTAATGGCGTATTATTTATCTATTGTGTGGCAATACAAAAGCACGCCACATAGAATAAGAAACGATCGTGTTAATGTAGCATTCGGCGCGAATCCGTTTCTAATTAGAACAGGCAAACAAAAAAACAAGTTTAGGATAATAAATAAGCCGACCCCATATATCAACAAAAAAATCTTTATCAGGAATAAAATGTTGACAATGTAAAAATATAAGTCCACATTTCTAAAGAAAGCTTTTTTGTTTACTGCATTCGAATAAAGTAAGCAATTCAATCTTTGATGATGAGTTGATGTATGGGGTCAAAGAAATTAAAACCTGGAATTTGACGTTGTGCTCTTTCCGTTCGGAAGTGACACAATTGTGTATGTACTGTGAAATAATAACGACAAATTTTTTGCTCCACATGAAATTATTGCGATTTGTTGTTTGACAGTAAATACAAACAAATAATATAATATATATGTGATATACAACATTAAACCTGCATAAACCAGTTAAAAAATCCCCATTCTTGTACTTTGGTTACAAGATATTCCGAACTATTTATCATGAAATTCGAGTCTTCGAGAATAAATGAAAATTCTTTGTCCACTTACCTGTTTTAATTGACCAAAAAAAATAGTTTAAAAACATGTGGAGAGGATTTATTCCCATTGTTGGAAAAAAATGATTTACAATAATATAAAGATAAGCTTAATCTTCGTAACCATGCACAGGGACAAATAGGACATAAAGATTTTCATATATAAAACCACAATACGAGTTGAAAATTTCTAATCGAAGGAAATAAAATCTTGGAAATAAAATTAACAGGCATCATATAAAAAAATTCGTAAAAGTTATTTGCCTGAATTCGATGACATCATTTGGTCGTCGTTGTCACACATCCGGATTTTATTAAAATAAATTTTCTCTCTTCTAACCTTTATGAACATGACATGACATGACAGCCATTGTTATGGTATGCAATCGTATGACCTTTTACACACATAATAAATTTTTTATGACGGTGGTGGTGGTTTTTACAAGAATGTAAAAAGAAAAATATAAAAGAGGCCGATTGTTTCGGAAATCAAAAACCGAATCGGCGATCATGTGATTCTGATATATGATTTGTGGCCAATATAATTTATTATTATTATTATTATTATTGTATCTTATATAACCGAATGTCTTGCGCGCTTTTGGCATAGTAAACAGACTTTGAAGACGCTAACTTGATAAATACTAAAAGGAATTTAAATTATTTCTATGTATGTACACGTACATATAAATTTGCACTGTACATGCAGCATAACGACAAATTTTTGGGCGCCAGAAACAAATTTATCTATTAAATAATCAAGTCGATTAATTATTTTTTTGTCTTTTATCGTTATTCTTTTCGAACAGATTAAACATGTGTGAAAAAAAATGGATGACTTTTAATAATCGTATTTATATATACATACATATATATATAATTTTTTTTTGATTATTGGAAAGGAGAAAGAAGACAAAAAGTTAATCATATAAATTAACGGAACAGAGGATGGATGTTTCATTCATTTCGGAAATATAATCAAAGTTTATATACTTAATGAGCTTGATGAAATATAAGTTGTTATGCACAAGAAATAACGAAGATGCTTTATTCAATTTACTACGAAACGTGAGCAAAAATTGGTTTTTACAAGTTGCTTTTTGATGTTTGTTTCAGCTAAATTAAAAAATGTGAAATCTACGATTTTTCATAATTACCATATGTTGTATTACCTGAACATAACATAGCATAGCATTACATAACATATGAAAAAGTTTTTTTGTCTTCATCATCATTATCTATCGCCGCACTGTAAATTGGAAAATACATCCACGAGAAACAACCAAATTTAAATTTTTTATAAGCCAAATCAATACTTACCACCTTTCGATTTCTCAACCTTATTATCGCCAAGAATTATAAAAAACGTGTATATATGTGTGTATGCTTAGATAGATGTTCAATTCGGCGGTTCGGTTATTTATCGATCCATTCTTCTATTTTTAAACCAGATAATGCAATGTTCATAAATATACTACGAATGAAAGATGTGATGATGTTGATGTTGATGATAATGATGATCGGAATGCTTGACTTTTTTTTTGTATATGCTAAAATAAATAAATTAAATTAAATACGTTTTACTTACACCGCTTTTACAAATAATAATAATAATAACTATATATAAATAAAATAAATAAAAATATTAATAACTATCAATAATGAGCAGAATCAGATAATACATGTACAAGCAAAAACTTGAATAAAAAAACCTTATTATCTTAAATTGAATGAAAAACACTAATAAATAAAAACATTTTTCTAATACAAGATATTTAGCGAGAAAAAAATACAAACATACACACGAATGTACCTCTATATAATTATATATATATATATATTTGTATTAACTTACCCCTCGCCTTTTGACACTTTCTCGCTTCTTCCCTTCATTGTAGTAGTTGACTTTTTTGGAATTCTGTGTATCAAGCTAACCAGCCGTGGTTTTACCACGTTAATGATAAAATAGTGATGGAGAAACTCAGGCGTTTAGTCCAAGTAGCCAAAGATTAAGAATAAGCTTTCGTCTTCTCGGAAGTTATCCGAATTAGACTACGTATTTTAGTTTATATCACATAATTTGTTATATGTTAAACTGCTTTTTGTTAATTAATAACTTCATACTGCCTTGAAAAAAATCTGCATACGTTCTTTTATTATACACGCGCGCGTATTTGAAAACATACACACACACTTAAAGATAACCACAATAACGATTTGAAACGCAAACTCAAACCGGATAAAGAGAAGATAAAACTTATATCTATTTCTGTTCGTTTGCCGGTTTTTTTGTAAACTCTATTACCGAAAAAAAAACGCGCAAATTACATTATTATACTGATAATATAAATAATAAATAAATAAATATTTAAAATAATAAATTAGATATTGGTTTTGTACATCCAATTTATACACCTAATTTATACACCTGCACATATTTTTTAATACACATGTATAAATTAAAAAACCTTATCGTTATGCTATATAACCACCATCAACCTTTCTTTCACCACTACAAATCCCGTAAACAACAACATTACCACATTACAAAAAAAACGCAAAAATAAGGAAGAGGATAGAGTAAGACGAGAAAACGAAAAACATTACTATAGATATTGTCGTTTTTTGCTTTTCGAGAAAAATTTCGAAAACTTCAATAACAAAGCATACATCGTAAGAATATCATAACAAATTAATATTTTGCAACTGTTAGAAAGACCATTTAGGTAAGTAAAATAACAACAATAATTCATATATTTTCATTTTATGTTTTTCATTTTTCTTTTCGTTACGATTAACACACACACACACACACATACACAACACACACACACAAAACAAAACACACGATAAATCTTTTCCTCCATATTTTTTTTGTGGTGTTTCATTTCCTTTTCTTCTTCTTTCCTCTTGCGCATATTATCGTAAGCATACACATACACACGCACAAGAAGTTAAAAAAAGAGATCATTTGTTCATTTGTCAATTATCATTGCGATTTTATTTTTATCATATTTGTTTTTATTTGTTTGTCTCAGTGAATACATAAAATTCTCGTTTGTCTTTTAATAGCATCAGTAATAATGCAACTGACGCGCCTAATATTAAAAATTCTTTTTGATCTCATTCATAGCCAATATAATAAAAATCTTAAATTTTTTTACGGAAAAATCTTTTTTTCCATTTTTATTTCTATTTCATTAATCCACCTTCTAACCAAAGTCTAATAAACCGACCATCAAAAAAAAAATTTCCAATCTTTCTTTTTTCCAATTCGCAAATAACCACCAGATAATAGAATAAACGCTTGCTCGCACAAAAGTACACACACTTACACAATATAATCACACAAGTACACGTCCCATTATAATATACGCGTTCCCGAATTAATATAAAAATCTGGTAGGTCTAGATTGGAAAATTGTGATATGTTGAGCTGCTTTTTTCGCTCTCTTCGTCTCTCTTTATTTATCGTCGCCAAATTTTTTCTTCTTTCTACCATTCTTTAATAATTTCGTTTATTGTTGACACGTGCGTAGAGAATTAAACGAGAGGCTACACAAGAGAAAGAGAGAGGGAGGGAGAGAAAGTGAGTGGACGAACAAAAAAATTATCATTGACAATAATATCATTTATCCTTTATTACACAAATAAAGTGGACGACACATTCTCCAACACAGCTCGCATACAATTATTATAATCATCAATCAGCTTCGTCATGCAGGGATTGCTTATGCCAGGTTTATATCCTGCGTGGACGAATCCTCTAGCATCTACATCTACTACTACTTTATCCGCCGATAACAATAATGCAAATAATGATGATGATGCATTTAATAATAATACATGTAATATCAATAGCAACGACAGCAACAGCAGCAGTAGTAGATGTAATTCAATACCATCATACCAAGCAACCGCTACACAGTCACCGAAGTCGTTACACTTACGAATAGCCGATAGTACAACGGCCACAACTTCATTATCACCAGTCTCCGCCACCACTACCACACATAGCACAATAAACACTACCGTATGGGACCAATCTTGCACTAATTCTCTGACAAGGAAATCGTCCATATCTTCTGTATCTTCTTTTTACTCGTGTAAGTCCTCGTTTACGATAATACCCACATCTTTGACTCGACAGCAAAGCATTATTTTCGAAAACTCAATATTAGATTCTCTTCATAAGTCCACGACTAAAAAACAATTAAACATAGAATCTTCAAAAGACAATAATAGTAATAGCAATAATAACAATAAGGATCATCCAATCATCATAGAAAATCAACAAAACAATCAGCCTGATAAAGTTGATCATAATAATAATAATAATAATATTAATAATAGTAGTAGTAGTAGTGTGTCGCCGATGTCGATATCAACATCAGCATCATCGTTACAACAAAAAAATTTTGATGAATTTGAAGATGATCGAGAAGAAATACTGACAATTAAATCATCCTTATCCTCTAGTAATAACAATAGTCGAAGAAGTAGCAATAACAGCTATTGCGTACAAGATGTGATTTCTTATCATCATCAACAATCGGCATCACTAAGTCAATCGCATACCGATAATGATAAGAATATTAATCAAATCCGATCAAATTCACTTACAAGAAAAGCTGCCACGACAATTGCTGCTAAAGATTCATATCATTATAATGAACTGATAAAATCATCACAACATCGGTCATGCAATAACACTAACAACTTTACTGGTAGTAATGTAATTAATCTTGGCTTTAACGATCTAAATAATATTAACGATAATAGTAGCAACAGCAACAGCAACAGCAATAATCATCATCATAATAATAATACAAACATTATGACACAACAACAGGATAAAGAATTAATATGTCGACAACAACAACCACAACTACAACAACTACAACAAAACAACAGCAACAATAATAAGGACTCGCACGATCAAATTCTATTTGATTATTATGATGATGACAACGATGATGATGATGAGGATGATGATGACGATGATGATAATAGTAATGATAATACTACTATTACTACTACTACTACTACTACTATTACTACAAATAATAATACATATAATAATGATGATAATAATAATAATAATAATAATAATAATAATAATCGTCGAAGTGCTCGAATAATTAGAACTGCAGGAAATTGTGGTGGCAGGGTAATCTTTAATATTGTAAATACAAGAATCAAGCGAACCACAAAGTCTCCTTTGCGATTAACACTAGTTGAAAGTGTAAGTGCTACTGTTGTTGGATCGGAAGAAGGTTCGTTTTTTTTTTCATTTTTATTTTTAATATTTATTTTTATAAATCGCCACCAAATATTCAATCATAATTACTCCCTAAACTTAAATATATCTGACTATTTATATATTAAGAGTTATAAATCTAACTATCTATATTTTTATATGCTTATATATTTATCAAACTACATAATATATATTTCTAACCCTTTTTT